TAAGTTTGTAATATTTGCAATGGTATGTATATGAGTCTTTTTAGAATATTCGTTTTCAGCTCTTGTCACTTTCACTTGACATTTTATTGTCAACATATGTTTTGTCTGCTAGTTCAGGATGAGTATGTTCTTTTGTTGCATATGTTGCATCTGCTCTGTCATGTTCTTCTTGAACTTTTTCAATGACATATTCTTTGTCAGCTTTGTTGTCAACATCTGCTTTCAAAAGAAGTTCAGATATAGGTTTCTCGTTTAAAGTTCCTTTTGTTGGATTTATACAGACAGTATGGTTCTTCTTGTCTTGAAATAGAAACTCATCTGTCATTGGGTTTAATGTCAGTTTTAAGTTTCCTTCTTTCAATGACTCAGATATCTTAGAATAGTTTGAAAAGTTTGTTGTGTTCTTATTTAGAGCTTGTATAATGAGTTGTCGGTTGTGTTGTATTTCTCTCATAGACGCTGTTTCATTTGACATTTTTATTCTAGATAAAATATGCTTTCAATAGAAAAAGAAAATTCAAGAGTTGCTACAACTAAACCATTAGATGAACTTTTTACTAATGTCGGTCAAAAGTTTGAGACAGAGACCGTAAAGCATGAAGGCTATCGTTTTGACTACCCGTTAAGATGGTTAAGAGACCCATCCGTCACAAAAGCTATTGGCTTTCGTAGAATGAAGTTCATTTCAGAAGCCATACATGGTTTCCCATTTACAGTCGGTTTTGTAGTTCGATACTATAACAAAGAAAAACGTATGTATGAGAAATTTGAACAGGGAAAACTTTTACAAGTGAATTTGCTTGTAAACTTAGAAACAACTCTTCAAGCTTTTCAAGAAAAAATAAACGATATCTATCTCGAATATGCAAAACAGTATAACATTGACGAAGGAGAGTACCATCTCGATATTATATATGACAGGAAAAATGCAACTGTTAAAATCAATAGAATAGAAGACCTTGGAGAAAACGTTTATATTTCTACAAAATATAACAACTTGGCATGGTATAGATTTATGAGGATGTTAAATCAGCCTGCAGAATATCCAGTACACCCGGACTTTTATGAAGTCGAAAACCCTAATGGAACATATGAAAATGTTTTCGACTCAGATGCTATTATCGTTCATGCTTCATTTTCTGGCGCCCAAAACTCTTTTTTATGCTTGGCAAATGACTTTTACGAAAAACCTACAAAGCTATATGAACCGCCGAGTGGAAGTATTTCAGACTTTCAAGTATGGTTTACAACAGATGGAAGAAAGAGAATAATTCCATTATACCATGCGTTTTACTTAGAACTTAGTTTCATATACAACTACTATCGAACGGTAAAAATATAATTTTTTAATACGGTTGAGGTGTTGGATTTGGTTGCCAACTTGACTGTGGTGCAGGTTCAGGCTGTTGTATAACAGGAGCTTGTTCTTCTGGTTCAGGGTCTTTAGGTATAATACCAACGAACTGACCTACTCTTTTACCAATATTTTTGACACCGTTCCAAATTCCTTTTCCGACAGATTTTATTCCATTCCATATACCTCTTCCAACTCTTCTGAAGAAGTTTCCAATACTACTGAAGAAACCCATTTACTATATGTAAAAATCTAATGTCCGCCTAGTCTCTTACGTTTCCTTCTGAGTTCCATAGCATTTTTTAACTGGAGCTCATACATTCTGTTTCTCCTCTGGTAGAAAACATATTCTGGGTCAACTCCTGTGTTCGCGTCATCTGCATAAAGTTGTTTATATCCCACTTCAGGGTTTGTATAAAACTCTTTCCATCTCATATTTGCATACCATGGTGGCAAACCTAACGCAGCGTCATTTGACATGGCAGTTTGCATTTGTACATCTGTTGGCACTTGACCATAGTTTGCCATTGCAGTTTGTATTCTAACTTCATTTGGAATATTCTCTGGGTTTGGTTGTCCAGGTTGCTGTGCATTCGCTAAGTTCTGTGCGTCCATTTAATATTAGATAAAAATATCTCTTACGAGTACATATACTGGACATTTGCAGGCATTGGTTCATCTTCATATTCTCTGTACTTTTCTGCCACGTCAAATAAATAAATGACACAATGGAAAAAACCTAAAACAAGTAGTCCTATTTCAAACCACATTTACTTACTAGTAAAATTTCTTTGTTATGACACATTCTCCGGTTTATAGGACCTCTCTCATATTCTATCTTGTCATATCTAAACTCATAGTCATGTATGTCCTCTAACCATCTCATAACGGTTTCCAAACCACTTTTATCGGATGTAAAGTAAAAGCATGGACAGTTATGTAAAACGTCTAAAGTTTCTAAAGAGTCTCTCAAAGTCCAGTCTACTTGGTATTGAAAATCCCATGTGTTATAGAACGGCGGGTCCACTATAAAGAAAACATTTTCCTTGTCTTTATATTTTTCATACAACTCTGTCCAATAACATCTCACAAACTCTATACCCTCAATATATTTTTCTATGTCCTCTTTGAAAACATTTGTATAGTTAAGATATAAAACTTTTGACATAAGTGTTTCAATGTCATGAACTCTTATAGAACCACTATATAATAGTCTAGCAGATATACTATCCCAGTCTATATATTCTGCTTTTTTCAAAACCTCTCTCACAATATTTTTGTTATCTAATGGTATACGTTCCATCTTACCTATAGGTATCTTTTCTTTTAACTCTTTCAATATATTGTTTGTATCTGGTATATGTTTGAGACGGTCCATATAGTTGTCGAAGTCATTGCATATAATCTTTGAGTCTGGGAATATTGTATGACATAAATGGGATATATAGAAACTTCCACCGAACAAATCTACAAATGTTAGACCATTCGGTAGTTTCTTAAGTTCTCTCAATATAATATCTTTACATTTACTCTTATTTCCAAAGAACGGTAACGGTGGTTTTGTAAAATTCATTTATATATAATAATAAAAATGTTTTTTCCTGAAAAGTGACAGAAAAGTGACAAAACATGAAAACATATATAATTTGTGAAAAGTGAAACAAAAAAGTCAACGGCTGGTCGGCTGGGGTTCGGTCCTCCTCTTGGGTCTTGGGAAAAACATCTTCAGGGCTAGAGGGCGCAACGCGCCTGGAAGCCCTCCGAATATAAACTTCATTTATACTAAACATCTTCAGGGCTAGAGGGCGCAACGCGCCTGGAGGCCCCACTACCTTTTTTTTTTTTTTTTTTTAATAATACATATTATTATATAATTAACATATTCATAATGTTTCACCCTTTCAAAAATATAATCCTCCTCCTCTCAAATAAACGTACATACGGGTGGCCTCTTTTTTCAAAAAATTAAAATTTGAAATTTTGGGCTCAAATATTAGAGATTTTTTCAACCTTCAACGATGTATGTTGTCTATATCAGACCTCCTTTCTTTTTGATACTTAACATTGTTCCTAAATCTTAGCCGTTAAGGCTGTTCTGAAAATATTTTTTTTTCGAAAAAATTCGAAAAAAATTCTTAAAATTCAAAAATCCCTTAATTCCTGAGGATTTTTGAAAAAAGTTTTTACATGAACATGTGTATATTATATGAAGTATATTGATAAGGTAAAAATCAAATTTTATTGCATATTCATCGAGAAAATAAACTAACGAATCCCTCAAAATTGAGAGGGTAATCCTCCTCCTCTCAAATAAACGTACATACGGGTGCACCCTTAAATTGCATAAACTCTTTTTACATATTTTTAAACCTTTCCATTTAGCGTATGTTGTTTGAATCAGCATCTAGAAGTATGGTTGTTTCAAAATCTAAAGTCCAAATCCTCAATATTCAATTTTGACCCGGGATTTTGAGATACTATCCTAAATCTCAAAATGCCAGCCTTTCGATTTGAAACTGAAACATAATGACAAATGTCAGTGCATATCTATATTTTGAAGTTACAATCTGAAAAATAGAATCTATTTCAATCTCAAAGGAAGGACGATGTATTTTTAGTTCACGCATGTACTTGATATTCCAAATAAGTGGATAGCTCAAAAAATCTTCAAACTTTTGATCTAAAAGGTGACAAATTTTAGAAAAAATGGAGTTTTTATCATTATTTGTTAACTTGATATCCAAATATCCAGTTATTTCATTTATAATAGTTGGATATATATCAGGATATGTTATAACAACGTATATTTACTGGTCATCTTTTTTCAATAAAATATCAATATTCACCGACAACTTAACAGAACTTTCATTTTCGATTATGTGCATGATTTTATTATCCAGCGTAGAGGTTATGATTGGATCAATTCGTTTTTTACTCTGGATGATCTGGAATGCAACGTGTGCAGCAACACTGCGTCAATTTGTTTATCCTATAGTATACGGTCCATCTTTTATTATTATTCCAATGTTTATAACTTTTATTTCCCATCACAAGCCTTATTTTTATTTCAAAATTAAGAATTTTAATTTCAGCGATAAATTCCTTTATAGTATCTTATTTGTACAGTTTATACTCATTAAATTGGGATCAAATTTGATAGATTTATTAATAATTCTTTGTTCTCAACTTGTTTGGAAGTTGGGAATACTTATCATACATAAATTTGATCTTAGAAATCGAATTGAAAATAACGAAATCGAAAATTACTGAACAAAATATTAAAATTCCTGGAATCAATAAGAAATAAGTTGAATTTTCTTAATTTTCTAATGATGTAACATATACAAAGCTTATTCGCCATTTAGACGATGTTCATTTTACAATATTTGGTGAAAAAATCTTAAGATTTTTACCAAATGCGTTATATTTGCATGAAACATGATAGATTAGCATTGCTCATTGTTCAAAGTAGAAAATAATTATATTTATCATAAAAAAAATTGATTATTTTTTCTTATATTTTTGTTGTTAATAAATTATGTCTTATACTATGATTAGTTTATCCTTTTCCTTTCATTATTTCTAAAAAATATAAATTAAAATTAAACATATGAATTTAGTCAAAAGAAAATCAAATAAAAATGCTTTATTTATTTTTGGCTGTAACGAATTTCTTGCCAAACTCTAACTGATCATGAATAACTTCCTGTAATTTTTCAGGTTTAATGAAATTAACGCGAGAATCAGTAAAAACTCTAGGAATTGGTGTCTTTGTACGTGGTTGTGAATCGAACTCAAACTCACGAGCTTTTACAGACTCCCAGTTCGGGAACATTGCAAAATTAACAAATTCATAAAATGGAGGGAAGAAAACTCTAGGAAGTGGGTATTGAGCATCATCACCAAACAACATTGCAAAAGCAGACTCTGTTCTCTTAATAACAAGATCTTTTGATTCGAAAACCGCTGGTTCGTTAACTCCTTTCCAAATCTTGACTTTCATGTCTTTTGTAATCTGGAAATACGTAATATTGATTTCACCAGTTTTAGCAAAGCGAGAATTAATTAATTCGTATTTTGGATTTGAATTCATATCATCAAGGAATACCTGTACCTTCTGCTTGTTCTGTTCTGTAGGATTTGATGAAACATTAATGAGTTTTGACGTAAAATCTTTAATTGTTTCCATTGTTTCTTTTGGCATTGTAGTTGGCTCATTTGCACGTTGGTTGACGTATAAATTGAGCATATTTGCAAGCATTGGATTGATGTTCATTGACTTTGGAACCCATTTAAATTCAAAAGTCCATCTTGCAAGGGGGACATGGAATAACCCAATTGGCATATTGCAGGCTGGAAGACGTAATATCAAACCTTCACCAATTGAACGAACAAGAACTAAATTATCTAAGTCATCATATTGCAAATCTTTTGTAAATAATGCTAAGACATTACGAAGTGAAGTATATGATTTGACTGTAACTGTTTTGTCAGAACCATCAGGTAGAAGGAAATCAAGTTCACAGTCTGGTTGATAATAAGTTAAATCGATCATATCTTCGATCAAATTTCTTGTTGCTGGAATACCATAATTGTATTTTAGGTTTTCGGGCTTTCTGATAATATGTGGAAGTGATGCAAGGATTGAAGGTGGATATTTGAATTCAGCTTTCTCAAGTCTAACAGTATTTACCATAAATGCTTGAGAAACATCTTGTGTTGGTCTTCTAGCAGATCTTCCAGTGAGTTTTATACCTGTTAAATATTTATTATCACCAGAGAAATCCATTTTAAAGTCACTGATATTTTTTTAACTGTTTTTTTAACGCATGTTATCCATTATTAATAATTTTCCCACCAATATATTACAATTTTAATATAATACAATTTTTATCCGTAAAAATCCTCCATATCTTTAATTGAATCTCAATATCTTGCTTATTGCTTTAGAGATCAAAAAATAACACTATACTATTGAGTTTTTCGTCTAGACGGGAAAAAATTTATATGAAATTTATAGAAGGATGATTATTTATTTAAAGAAATAAGTCACGACCTTCATGGAAAATATAATCATTTTATACTCTATAAGCATACAGTATCGGATATGTATCACAATTTTAAGGGTGCATATAAGCCAGCGTTGCACAGCCTTCAATTCTGTCGCATAAGGTATGGTAAATTACTCTAGCTATTATTAAGGTTAATTACCTCTATCCTAAAAGTATTCAATCTATGAAGAATAAAACTGCAATGTATATATCATCAAAAATAATAAAAAAATCACATCATAAAAAATGACATAAATTTATTCCCCAACAAAAATTCACTATCTCAGAAACATTAACAACTTCTCCGTCTTTAAATGGAGATGGATTTTTAAGGACTGTTCTCAAATCACAATTGCTATATTCTAATGATTACTTCGATTTTGAAGGAACTCCAGGACGATATAATAATACAGATCCTGAAAGACGTATAGAAAATGCATTTGATGGACTTTCAACGACTCATTATTTCTCACCGTATGAAAATGCACACGTTGAATTTATTTTCAAGGGAATATTTAATTATTCAGGTTTAATTATGCATTTTATCCATGATTCATATGTTACAGATTTTGAAGTTGTTGGATCGAACAACGGAACTAAATATGAACCAATTGCTTCTTATCATAATCTCCGGCATATTGGTTCACGTATTTTATTTGAACACCATCAGCAAAAAATTTTTAATAGAATCAGAGTTAACTTCTTAAGAGATTGTTATAATCATGTCTCTGGTTCAATGTACGAATTAGATATCTTTGGAACCTATTTGAGATTATCTATTTAGAGTTGTATGTTTAAAATATATCAAGCTCCTGTCGCTTTTATTATGTTTTTATGTCAATTTTCCTCTCAAACGGCGTTTTTTAAAAAACGCTCATTTTTTCATCGACCTTATATATATATATATTATCCTATAAGAGTCATGAAATATGAAAAATGTCACGAAATTTTATGTTTTAAACATTAAACACATATTAGAAAGCGTCACATTATCAGCGTATTATGTTTGATGAGTAGCGTTTATTTGTTTGAGGATGATCAGATTAAGATTATTTGAAATGTATTACATCTGAGGTATTTGTTGTGTTTTTGGACCCCAGATGGGGAACTAAGACTTAAAGGTCTTTTTCTATCAGATGTTGATTGCAGTCTTTGTTCCTCATCTGAGGTATATATCAAGGCTTCAGAGACTGCTTAAAAGAGTCTTTGAAGACTTTGTTCTTCAATCGCATCAATGGTTCATGATGATATTAAATACTACGATACACTTTTGACACTTTTGTTTTACAGAATTCTAAGTTCTATTATTGTCCAAATCATTCCATACGCTAATAGCTGTGACTAGGATTTGATTTGATTTGAAATTTAATAATTAAATCTTCACACAACTGATGTAAGTCAACATTAAAATTCTTGTCATGTTCATTGAAACCTCAAATGTAATGATTTCCTTCCCGATTACTTGAATAATTTTGTCTGAATATTACTTTATGGATTAAAATTCTATTTCCTTCGACTTTTCTATTGTTTTTGAATCATTTAATTCATATGAACTTAAATAAAGTTAATAAATTATTTCCGAAATCTTTGTGATCATTGATTTCCACATGTCTAATATAATATTTGTTTCATCTAATGAGTTTAAAAGATAATAATATGTTAAACTGCAAATGTCTCCTTTTTAAAAATTATTTAAGGGATCACTGTCTTAGTTTACAACTATTCAATTTTTTGAACTTAAATGCACTTTTTCTCTATGATAGAATTGATATTTTTAGGAATAAACTTAAATATAGCATACATTGATCATGTTCTATCTTTTCATTGTTTCAAAATCTAAAAAAGACCTCTAGAAGAAGACTCAGAGTGTAAATAACGTATTTTTTTGTAAACTAAGGTGGTGATCCCTTAATGTCCGACGAAGACATTAATCCAAATAAATTCAGCGAACTGCGAAGTATCTATAATTATCACATCGATTCATATAATGCATTGTATCAGTTAAAAACGGAAAAAGAAGAAGAATTAAACTCAATTTACAAAATGATCAAAACAAACTTGATTGATTCAAAGAAATATTCTCCCCAAACAATTATGCGAAACATTTTAAATATCATTCCGTATAATAATCGCTATACTAAATCATATTTATTACTTGTGAAACTAGTATTTGATGATTATCATGTCAATGAGATCAACAGAGTTGAACTTATTTCAAATTTCCTGTTTTACAAAGAATATGGAATTAAATTAAACAAATCTGCTAATTTCGAACAAATTAAATCCCTAAATCTGGATATTCATACTCAAAATACAATTCACAGAGCAATTACGTATAATGACATAGAAACATTCATTGCATTCACTGAAAGAGAAGGATTTGATAAAAAACAAAAACTTAAAAGCGATTTATATCCACATCATTACGAAGGATATTCATTACTTGAATTATGTTGTTATCACGGAGCAGTTGATTGTTTCAAGTTATTGAGAACGAAATTTAACTCAGAAATAACTCGAGAATGTCTCGACTTATCATTTTTAGGAGGAAATCAAGAGATAATGAGTGAATGTTTTAAATATCAAAAACCAGATAGATGGTGCATGGAAAATGCAATTATTTCACACAACATTGATTTTGTTACATTCTTGATGAATACAGTATAAAGATCAATTTAAGATATTGCGAAAAATATAATAATCTTGAAACATTTTTAGTTTATTTCGATCAAACTAATGATATTGGCAAATGCTTTGTTTATTCGGCGATGTTTAATATTCCATCTCTTTGTGAATATTTCCTATCAAACGGAGCAAATATCAATGAAAAAAATAATGATGGAGAAACAGCTCTTCATGTTACAGCAAGAAATCATAGTAAAGAAACAGCGGAACTTCTTATTTCACATGGAATAAATATCAATGAAAAAAATAATAATGGACAAACCGCTCTTCATAAAGCAGTATATAATAATAGCAAAGAAACAGCGGAACTTCTTATTTCACATGGAATAAATATCAATGAAAAAAATAATGATGGAGAAACCGCCCTTCATATTACAACAGAAAATAATAGTAAAGAAATTTCTGAATTTCTTATTTCACATGGTGCCAATATCAATGAAAAAGATAATAATGGACAAACCGCTCTTCATTATGCAACAAGAAATGATTGTAAAAAAACAGCGGAACTTCTTATTTCACATGGAATAAATATCAATGAAAAAGATAATGATGGAGAAACCGCTCTTCATGAAGCAGCAATTTTTAATAGCAAAGAAACAGCGGAACTTCTTATTTCACATGGAATAAATATCAATGAAAAAGATAATGATGGACAAACCGCTCTTCATGAAGCAGCATTTTTAATAGCAAAGAAACAGCGGAACTTCTTATTTCACATGGAATAAATATCAATGAAAAAAATAATGATGGAGAAACAGCTCTTCATTATGCAGCAAGAAATCATAGTAAAGAAACAGCGGAACTTCTTATTTCACATGGTGCACAAATATAATATTCTTTTTTAAGGATGACCTAAGGTGTCAGATTTTTTTTTGGTACCATAGAGTAAACATATGGATTTCCTTATTTGACATTAATTAATAATACATTATAGGCTATACACCCCTTCAGTAATATTAGACAAAAAAGAATATTGACAGAATGTCAGAAAGTAGAAATTGCCATTTTTTTAATAAAAGAAATTTGATTTTCAAGCAGGATTTAATGTACTAGAAACATTATCAACTTCTCCACCTTTAAATGGAGATGGATTTTTAAGCACTGTTCTCAAATCTCAGTCATTATTTTCTAATAATTACTTTGATTTTGACGGAATTCCAGGTCTTCACAATAATTCAGATCCTGAACGAATAATTAATCATGCTTTTGATGGAGATTCATCGACACATTATTTCACCCGTGATACATATCCTCATTTTGAATTTAGATTCCACGGGATTTTTAATTATTCCGGATTAGTTATGCATTTCATATCTAATCCGTATGTGACTGATTTTGAAGTTGTTGGATCAAACAACGAACAAATATATGAATTAATTACATCTTATAAAGGTCTTCGTCATCAAAGTAGACGCGTTTTATTTGAATTCCGCCAACAATTATATTATAAGATAATTAACTTCTTAAAAGATTTTGAGAATATTATTACTACGATTGATTTCGATATTTTCGGAACTTATTTAAGAATATCTACTTCAAGTTGTTTGTGTAAAATACACCATTCATATCTACTATTTATTTATTATATTCCATTCGTTCTTTTATAAAAACAATATAAATTAAAATATTTCTAACCATAAACACAAAAGAATGATATAACTTTTGTACATTTGCTAAATTTGAGACAGAAAGTAATTACTATCAATATATTTTAATTCAAATTTATGATGGATAATTTTTACCCGATTATTCATGCCTACAGTGCAAATAAATGATAAATATTTTCTATCTTTACTTAATAGGGGTTAAAAAAAATCTGAATAAATTTTGCAATACAATCTTTTTATTTAAATTTTTGAAATAAGAATCCATATTAATGATATTGTATGGTTCATCTCGTAATAAAAAAGAAGTTCAATTAATATTCTAATTTATTTACAATAATAAAACAAAAATAAATATATAAATAAGTATAATATAACTTAATCTGAGTCACTCTGTTCTATTTTTATTGAGTGTTCAGAGTCAGGTAAGTCTCCAGGGTTAATTGTTGAAATTGCGTTTGCTTGGTTTGTTGGAGTTGACTTCAAGCAAGCGCTATTAGTTGATACAACATCCCTTGTTTCATTTGTCTCATTTGTGGCCTCATCGTTCTCATCGTCGCTCTTTAATAATCTTTGTGTCGACTGTTTCTTCATTCTTCTGAATCTGACGCACTTTACAACAAACCACACGATAACTGTGGCGAGTACGACCACGGAAACGACAGCCGTTACGATTATAACGATTTTATTAAATTTTTCGTAAGGATTCACTTGATTTGTGGTCGAATTCTGGGCAGGAGTCGTGGAAATGTTTGGAGCTGCTGATGGTGAAGGTGTTGATGGTATAGATACCTCAATTGCACCTGATGCAAAAAGATTCAATTGAACTAACGAAACTGAATCGAATACAACGGTAGATTTAGCACCATGGAATCTACCATAGTCAACATAGCATCTACTAACTGTATATTGCAGGTTTATCGAGTAAACTGCATAATCGCAATCATTTAACGTAAAACAGCAATAAGAGATGAGCGAAGACCCGGCATCATTGTTTAATCTGATGTTTGCGTTATCCTGGCTGGTTGGATAAACGATTGTATTGTGAATAAAGTTACAATACGATGTTGTAGTATAAGTAAGCCAAAGAACAGCGTTAACTGAAATAATATCCATGTTTTCGAAACTAGAATATGAAATCTTGGTTGGATCCTTTCTGTATAGGACAATTATCGATGAAGATGACCTCGTATTATTTGTATTGGTCATTACGAGAGATGTGTTTGCCATCAGGTTGGCAACTGTACTCTTTTGGTATCTGTCTGCATCTAATGATGAATATAAATTAATTGATGTGTTATCGGCTTGAATAAAAGCAAATGAGCCTCTTCCACCAGTAATAGAGATGGTATTGTTATAGCATATGACTTTGTGAAGTATGACAATGCCACCATCTGGTATTTTGATGAAAAGCATGCCAGGTTGTGAATTTCCTAAATTATGATTGAAAGAAACTTCTTCAAGTAAGAATTTTAGATCGCTTGTAGCTCTTACATTAAGAAATTTTGTGGTAAACTTTTGAACTGTAGTTGCATAAAGATAAACATTTTGATTTGTTGTTGTAACAGCACTTGTATTAGCTCCTGTAACAGGAATGTAATCTAGCTGCTTAAAGTAATCAGTCCAAGCTGATTTTATTGATAGTTGTCTAATAAAAATCTCTAAAAACATTCTTTTCTAAAATGTTCAAAAAAAATTGAAAAGTAAATTTTGTAAAGCCTCTGTTTACAAAATAATTCGTTATTTTTGAAGATTCAATAGTTTACAAAAATGAAAAAAAGCAATAATTATAAAAAAAGAACTTTTAAATGAATTTAGAAGTAGAAGAACTCCCATCTGGTGATATTAAGTCAACTAACTGTGTAACAAGAGTTAAAGAATGTGATGAATATCTTACCAACAGCCAATGGGGTCAATTTATTTACTTATTCAAGTTATTAACTAAATTCAATGAAGGCAATAAATATGATGCGCCAGAAGAATTTACTAAAGAGTATGATACTCTAAAACAAAATGCCATTAGTAATATTCTTAAAAATCTAGAACTTGTAAATGTTTTCGAAGATTTCAAGGAATGGCTTTCAAGACTATCAGAAGTTGTCCAGGATAAAGAACAACTTTGGAACATTATGCATACACAAGCACAAATGACAATTCGTGTAACAATGAAACAAAATCAAGAAATAGCTTCTCTTTACTTCACTCCAAGTACTTTGTTCGAACTAGGCGTTAAACCGCTTATGGAGTCTAATGTTTGCGATTGGAAAAATCCAAATGAAGAATCATTAGTCGATAATTTTTACGGTGTTGCAGGTTTTGTTAGAGCCTGTGGACTTTCCACCACATATGAAAGCAATAATCCAGAATACTTTGACTTCGTCAGGCGAATTCTCGTTAATTTTGTTCAATTACCAGAATTTGATCCTCATCGCTTTGTTTGGCTAGTCGAAGCCTGCAACGGCAATTTACATATTCCCTCTGCAAAATTCAAAGAAATTTGTCAAGAAGTTATCGATGTATTTACAAATATGGATTTCGAAGGCCAACTTATCCAAAAGTTATACAAATTCTGCGTATTTTCAACATCCCCACTTATGCAGACCTTCCCGTTGATCAAGAAATGCATAGACGACACATTTGCGCAATTCATTGAAGAACAACGCATTTTCTGTCGTAGATACATCTTTTCTTGCTTCACATCTGTTGATTGGAAAGGCAAAGCAGAGAATTGCTTATGCGATCAAGTGAAATGTTGGAGATTATTTGTATCAAATTCATCATTACGTCTTAAAGAGCGTCCGGAGCTTCCTGAAGCCATGTTATGCGATCTATTAGATGACTCAATGTGTTTCTTCGAAGTTTTCTTCGCAGATGCCCAGCCAACAAAGGAAAAATGCGTAGACATGAGATCTTACATTTTACAGGTCGCAGAAACAGTTCAGGAGTTTTATCCAGGACAGATCAAAGAGCAGACATTGCACAGAGTATGGTATATCCTATTTATTGCTGCAATTTCGGGAGCTTTGGAGCCAGAATTAAATGAAATTAAATATGTCGATCCTCCCAAAGATAATACATGCCTCCTTGGCTTGGAACACAACTTCTCGGAGTTCACCAGTTATCCATTCGCTTTGTCTGTGTTCGGAAAGAAGTTTGAGCCTGATAAAGAAACATTTGAGAAAATGACTTCATTTATTAGAGCAAACTTCTAATTTTATTAATATATTATATTGTATGGAATAAATTTTTATCACTAATGTTGGTGTTTTATCATTTTTTAAATTTAAACTATTTTTAATCAAAAAGTTTTTCATTACAATCAATAGCAATACATTCTGCACAACTCAAAACGATCAATTTCAATACTTTATTTTAGATGTTTCGATCAAATAAAAATACCTTCAATTTTTTAACTTTTGCAACTCCAAAAACCAGGTGTTTTTCCAGAACTACCATCTAGGATGAGTCCTAGGAGTTATAATTCTAGGGTTAGATGATACCCACTTAGTACTTTTATTTGTATATGTTTTAATGGAATTTGGTGAGGGGTCATGAAATTCGTATCTAATTTGCTATCATCTAAGCTGGTAAAAGTTAGAGAAAGCTATTTACTGGTTGTATATTACAAATATACCTTGTAATAGAAAATATAAGTGTTTGTGATTTAAATTCGCTCAATTAGCTCGAAAATTTGTTTTATATCCATGACAAACTAACACAATCCTATTTATGTGATTGCCAATCTGTTCCCAAAATATATCAGCATGAATATATATATATTGATATTATTTGCAATTGGCGTCAAAAATTTTCTCACTGGGTTTTCGTCTATCAATCCCAGCTCATTATATACGCAACCAATCAAAAATCTGATATGGGAGTCCAAGGCTAACTTTTTGTTGTCTACCTAATAAAAGAGGAAGCAGCATTAGTGAGAATAATCGCAAATATTCAATTTAAATTATCTTTTTATTCTTAATTTAAAGTGACAAAAAGAATAAAAAACCTATTCTAAGGCATGTTGTTATGTAAATGAGACTAGACATCATATTTTATGTTATGAAAAAAAAATATTTAGAATTTTAGAACAAAATAAATAGAAAAGATAGCATAACTTATGGATGTGCGTATATTAAATTTAATAAATTAAGAGAAATTATTTTTGGCGCCAAAATTATTCGTTAACTCTCAAATTTTTCTGAGTCAATAAGCCGCCAAAAAAGTGTCATTTCTTTATAGGAAAGGAAACCTATTTGACGAACAATCCGGACACTAGTGCCTCAGCGAATTTCCCCAAACCCACCAATCCCCTCCCTGCTGTTGTGCACCATCGATGGAAAGTAAGTCATCAATAGTCTCTTTTCCTGATTTCAAGCTAACGTTAGATCATTCATGAAAGAAATCATTGCCTTTCATCAGAGACTTTCGTTATAACTGCGCTGCTCTCAAGTTCATCTTGAGAAATTTATGTAATAACTGAATTCCCAAAATTCTTTAGGTGATCCAAAACACTGTAGCTGCTTGAACTTTGGACGAGCCTCGCACCCCAGAGAATAGAAATCCCAATCTTGCTCATGTTTAGTTGAATTAGTCTGCAGCAGTACAGCTCTGATACCACAAGATCGTGATGTATACAAAGTCACAACGCTATTTGATTCAACAACTAGCTAGTTTTGACATCAAATTGCAAAATTTGACTTCGTTATGAGCTCTTTGTAGCAAAAATACATTACACTTAAAGACTAGTTGCTAGACTGTAGTAGTTTGTTCGTATATATCTATTTTTCCCCAACGTATTGCATACTACATTTTGACAAGACTTGCAACCTTATAGTAACCTCGTTGGGAATTGTTCAAGCAAAGCGTAGGTAGTTAAGGTCGAGTAAGAGTTCTTCTTAAATCTTTCACTGAATGAGTAGGTGTTGGAAGAACTGTTCTCTAAAGCGATACAGCTGCGCTACATGTTCGTCAACTTGTCTAGAAATAAATATATCATTTGTTTTATACGTTTTTTCGTAATAAATCTATTTGTATTTGTTGTATTTGAGTATGAAGATAACAAAAACTACGGCATAAGACGCAGTACACTGGGCTTCGTTGCCATTTTATTTACCATGTTAAGAATAAACTTAACAGACATGCTTTGTTTTCGACGAAGCCATCTAAAATAACGTACATCTAAATAAAACTAAAAAACTGTAAAATTTCTTTATTTGATAGTATACTTCAAATTATGCACTATACCTTCTAGAATTCTATAACACTCTTTGCATATAATTTTTTAAAAAAAAAGTTATATCTCGACAAAAATATGATTTATCAATAGAGTATGTAAAATAAAACTCATTCGCAGTATTAAAAAATCGTAAATCTTTCCAAAAAAATTTTGAATTACAAATTTTAAAACTTAAAACAACATTTTTTGAAGCGAAAAAACGAAATCTAATTTTTTTTGGAAAATTTAGAATAAATAGAGCTCTTTAACTCGTCGAATACAAATTGTTTTCAAGTTTTTTTCGACCGGAAATTGAACTTTTAGAGTTTATACAATAAGATTCACATGAAAAAATACGGGTTTAACAAAGAAATCACCAATATAAAGGTTTTTTTAGTAGAACGAGATTGATAAAAACTATGGTATGATAAAAAGACGATAATTTTTTTGGCGGGATAATTGAAGAATATGAATGATTCGAATTACAGACATACTCTAGTCCGAAACTTACTATGGTTCGTGACTTATTTTTGACACAGAATAGCTGTAGACTAAGGCTTACTCTAGATCCAGACTTATTATACAATTAAATTTGCTTTTGGAATAAGACTTAATTTTAGTTACAAACTTATCTTAATATCAGACTTATATTTAGAATCAGACTTACTTTAGTCTAGAACTTACATTTAGAATCAGACTTCCATTTCAAGTCAGACTTACTTTCGTCCGAAACTTCCATTTCAAGTCTGTTTACTTCGTCCGAGACTTACATTTCAAGTCAGACTTACTTTCGTCCGAGACTTACATTTCAAGTCATACTTACTTTCTTCCAAGACTTACTTTCGTCCGAGACTTACATTTCAAGTCAGACTTACTTTCGTCCGAGACTTACATTTCAAGTCATACTTACTTTCGTCCGAGACTTACATTTCAAGTCATACTTACTTTCGTCCGAGACTTAAATTTCAAGTCAGACTTACTTTCGTCCGAGACTTACATTTCAAGTCAGACTTACTTTCGTCCGAGACTTACATTTCAAGTCATACTTACTTTCTTCCAAGACTTACTTTCGTCCGAGACTTACATTTCAACTCAGACTTACTTTCGTCCGAGACTTACATTTCAAGTCATACTTACTTTCTTCCGAGACTTACTTTCGTCCGAGACTTACATTTCAAGTCAGACTTACTTTCGTCCGAGACTTACATTTCAAGTCATACTTACTTTCTTCCAAGACTTACTTTCGTCCGAGACTTACATTTCAACTCAGACTTACTTTCGTCCGAGACTTACATTTCAAGTCAGACTTACTTTCGTCCGAGACTTACATTTCAAGTCATACTTACTTTCTTCCAAGACTTACTTTCGTCCGAGACTTACATTTCAAGTCATACTTACTTTCGTCCGAGACTTACATTTCAAGTCATACTTACTTTCTTCCAAGACTTACTTTCGT